CGCCGCAGCCCTCGCCCTCCGCGGGGCCCTCGCCGCCCGGTGCCGCCTTGGGCGCCGCCTTGGGCTTGCGCGGCCCCGCAGCGCCGTCCTCGGCCACGTGCCGGCTGGAGCAGTAGAGGCGCTTGTGCACGTAGTAGTTGTTGACGTTGTTGAAGGTGATCTCGCACTCGAAGCACGTGGCGCCCTTGGGGGTGGGCGCCGCGCCGGCGCCGTAGAGCGCGGGCGGCCCCGCGCCCTGGCCCTGCTTCAGCCGGCTGTGCACCAGCTCTGACATCTTGGCCAGGATCTCGGACGCTTGCGGCACCACGGCCGCCTCGTGCCCGAAGAGGTACTGGGGCAGGAAGACGGTGCCGCCGGCCGTGCCAGCGCCCGGCTCGCTGGGCACGGGGCTGGAGCCCGGCGTGGGGCTCGCCAGCTCCGACTTCACCTTGCCCGAGGGCAGGCTGCGGGGCGACGACGTCCGCGAGTCGGGCTCCGCGCCGGGGCTGCCGGGCGCCTCCGCGCGGGATGTGCTCTTGGGCGCCTCCGGCTCCTCCTTGACGCGCATGGGTGGCATCGGCTCCGAGGAGGAGGACAACGAGGAGGAGGATGAGGAGGAGGAGGGCGCGTCAGCGCTGGGCGCCCTGGGCTCGCCGTCGGGCGCCTCGGCGGGCGGCGAGATGGTGCCGGTGGGCGGCGAGGCGGGCGGCGCGGCGGGTGCGGGCGGCGGGCCGTGCAGGACGGCGCGCGGCGGCAGCGCCGGCAGCGCCTCGGCCAGGAAGCCCGGCAGGCTGCACTTCAGCACCGGCGCGTTGTTCGGCTGGCTCAGCCCTGCCGGGGTGGGAAGAGGTGCTGGTGTCACCGTGGTGGCACCTGGACACTGTGCAAGGCAGGGGACACCTGGCACCTTGGCACGGACACATAGCGCCTTGCACGGTGGGTCTTGTCGAGGTGGCACCTTGCAAGGGGGGCAAGGGGGTGCTTTGCAAGGGAGGGTTGTGTCAAGCTGGTACTTTGCAATGGGGATTGTCTTGGCAAGACAGCATCTTGCAAGGGCTTGCAAAGGCCCAGGTGGCACCTTTAAATTTGGGGTTCAGTTGAAACCTTGGCACTTTGCAAGAGGTGTCTTGGCAAGGTGGTGGCTTACAAGCAGGGGTTTGGGCAAGGTGGTACCTTGCAAGGAAGGGGTCCCTTGGCACTGTGGAAGTGTGGGGTCCCTGGCACCTTAAAAGGACAGGTTCTCTTGGCACTCTGACACTTGGCAAGAGAGGCTCCCTGGGCAAGGCAGCACTTGGCAGAGGTGGTGATAAGTGTCCCCCATCCCGTCCCCTGCCCATGGCCGGCACTGCCGGTCCCTGATACTCACCCGGGGTGAGGGGCTTGGCGGCGGGCAGGCTGGGCGGCCCTGGCGAGTACACCTCGCCCTTGGAGCCCGGCTGGCAGATCATGTGGTTGGTGACCAGGTGGCTGTAGAGGATGTCCCGCGTGGTGGAGATGAAGCCGCAGCTGTGGCAGACGCCTGCGGGGGGACCGCGGTGGTACGAGGCATTAAACTGGGGGTCCCGGGACATCCCCCAGGACGAGGAGGCAGCGGTGCCCACGGGGCCGGGCGCACTCACCGTTGAGCGTGTCCGTGTGCACCTTGAGGTGCCGCTCGCAGTTGGCCTTGGTGGTGAAGGCGGACAAGCAGATGAGGCAGACGAAGGGCCGCTCCCCTGCAAGACGCACGGACGGGCCCGTGAGCGCCGAGCGCACGGCGAGAGCCACGGCCCGCCGCGGTCCCCCCATACCGCTATGGCTGCGCATGTGGATCTCCAGGGAGCTGGCGCTGGGGCAGCTCTTCTTGCACTGCGGGAAGGGGCAGACGCGCTCGTTGGGGTAGCTCTCCTTGGGCTTGTCGTCGGCGGCCGGCGCGGCGCCGCTCGCCCGGCTGGCGCAGTAGTAGAGCAGGTGGGCTTGCAGGTTGCGCTCGCTGCGGTACCAGATGCCGCAGTCCTTGCAGGGGAAGACGTCCTCTGCGGAGGGCAACGCGTGGGGACGGTGCGGCAGCGGGTACCCCAACCCCGTCCCCTCGCTTTGCATCCCCAGGCACTCACTGTTGACCACCGCCGTGGCCAGGATGGCAGCCATGCCCGCTTGCTGCGGCAGCAGCTGGATGTCGGAGCGCAGCGCCGCCGGATAGGGCGCCGCGGCGGCCTCCGCCTTGGGCGCGTGGTTGGCGACGGCCGCGGGCTCGGCCAGCACGAAGGCGCGCAGGGTCTCGTCCTGCCGCACGGCGCGCGTCGTCCGGCACCACAGCGCTGCGTCTGCACGGGGGGGGACAAGCGTTGGTGGGGACGGGCGCCGAGCGCTAAGCCCGGCCTTGCCTGGAGATGGCGGTGTCAGCCCGCGCCTGAGCCGCGCGGTGCCACCGAGGGCTGCACTGCTGCTTGCGCTGCACTTTGCACGGGTGCCTGTGCCCGGTTTTGCACTGCTGCTTGCACTGAATTTTGCACCGATACCTGCACCACTTTTTTGTGACGTTGCTTGCACCGTTGCCTGCACCAAATTTGTGCACCGTTGCTTGCACCAAATTTTTGCACTGTTGTTTGCACCAAATTTTTGCACTCACGCACCCTATTTTGCACCAGTGCTTGCAGCCCATTTTGCACCAGCGCCGGCACTAAGCCTTGCACCAGCCACCTCATGGTGGGACCCTCCTGCCTGGCATCCCTTGGCCCAGTTGTCACCCGGGGAGGGGACAGAGCAGGAGGGCGACACAGGAGAACCGGCGGCTGGGAGGTCCCAGTGCAGCGGGGCAGGTACCCACCCTTGCTGTAGATAACGGCGTTGGCGTCGGGCTCGGCGGGCACCAGCGGCAGCCGGGACAGCCAGCAGCTCTCGTCCCCCAGCACCAGCGTCACGGGCGCGCTCTGCGAGAGCCCAAACAGCGGCGGGTGAGACCCCAGACCCCGCGGGGCCGAGGGGGCGCCCCCCTGCACCGCACGGTGCCAACCCCAGCCCCGCGCCAGCGCCCCGCGTCGCTAATGAATATTAATGAGTAGAGGAAGAGGGGGGGAATTAATCTGCCTGATCCTCCGATGGCTGCTGCGGTAACGATATGAAATCTAATTATTCCTCCCAATATTTCTAAACCCTCCAACTCCGACTGGCGGTCTCCACTGGTTTATCACCGCGCGGAGCCGAGTGCTCACAGTGTGATAAACCTGCGTGGGTGCCTGTGCCCGCGGGCGGTGCTGCCCGGCCCCGCGGGCACCGCGCTGCCAAATGGGATGCAGCGCTGCCCCCGTCACGTCCATCCCCGCCGGGAGGTTTTGGCTGCACCGCAGAGGTGCTGGGGGTGCCGGTTGCACCGGCAGCCGCCGCGGCGCTTCCCGCCGCCGGCCCCCGGCCCATGCGGAGCCACCTTCCTTGTCGTGCCTTGAACAAAGGGGTCAGTGTGTGCGCTCGGAACCGGCCCCGATAACCATCGGAAACCCTATCTGCGCCGCATCCGCCCGGGCCGCCGCTGCGTGCTATCCGTCCGCCTCGGCTCCCGCTGCCCCTCCTTGCTCTCCTGGCCCGCTCTCGATGTTCCTCCTTGCTCCCCTTGCCCTGCTCCCACTGCCCCTCCTTGCTCTCCTTGCCCCGCTCTCGATGCCCCTCATTGCTCCCCTTGCCCTGCTCTTGA